AGCACAAGCCGTCACCCCCCTGGTGTCTGTGTCAATTGGTTTTACTCATGCATGCATACAAGTCCTTTGGTTGATCTCTTACTCCCTCACCCCCCTGCCTTCCCTCATAGGTTGTACAGTCTGTTCGATGCTTCTGTGTTTCTGGTTCTATCTTTGTTCATCATTTTATGTTGTTCATTATATTCCACAAATGAGTGATATCATGTGATATTTATCTTTCTCTGACTGGCTTATTTCACTTAGCATAATGCACTCTAGTTCCATCCATGCTGTTACAAATGGTAAAAGTTCCTTCTTTTTTTACAGCAGCATAGAATTCCATTGTGTAGATGTACCACAGTTTTCTAATCCACTCATCTGCTGATGGGCACTTAAGGCTGTTTCCAAATCTTAGCTATTGTAAATTGTGCTGCTATGAACATAGGGGTGCATATATCCTTTCTGATTGGTGTTTCTAGTTTCTTGGGATATAGTCCTAGAAGTGGGATTACTGGGTCAAATGAAAATTCCATTTTTAGGTTTTTGAGGAAACACCATACTGTTCTTCACAGTGGCTGCGCCAGTCTGCATTGCCACCAGCAGGGCACGAGGGTTCCTTTTTCTCCACATCTTCTCCATCACTTGTCATTTGTTGATTTGTTGATGAAAGCCATTCTGACAGGTGTGAGATGGTACCTCATTGTTGTTTTGATTTGCATCTCTTGGCTGATTAGTAACTTTGAGCATGTTTTCATATGTCTCTTGGCCATCAAAAAACTACTAGACTTAATAAATGAATTCGGTAATTCAGCAGGATACAAAATTAACACCCAGAAATCTATTGCTTTTTTATACACCAATAATGAACTCACAAAAAGAAAAACTAAAAAAAAAAAAAAAAAAATCCCATTTACCATTGCAACAAAAAATTAAGATACCTAGAAATAAATTTAACAAAGGAGGTAAAGGACCTGTACTCATAAAATTACAGGACACTGAAAAAAGAGATAGAGGAAGACATAAACAAATGGAAGAATATACTGTGTTCATGGATTGGTAGAATCAACAAAATTAAAATGTCCATACTACTCAAAGCAATCTATAGATTCAATGCAATCCCCATTAAAATACCAACGACATATTTCAAAGACCTAGAACAAACTCTCCAAAAATTCATCTGGAGTAAAAACCGACCCAGAATAGCTGCAGCAATATTGAGAAAGAAGAACAATGTTGGAGGGATCACAATACCAGATATAAATTATACTACAAAGCCACTGTTCTCAAAACTGCCTGGTACTGGCACAAGAACAGACATATAGACCAATGGAACAGAGAACCCAGAGATCACCCCAAGATCAACTAATATTTGACAAAGGAGGCAAGAGCATACAATGGAGTCAAGACAGTCTCTTCAATAAATGGTGTTGGGAAAATTGGACAGATACTTGCAAAAATATGAAACTAACCACCAACTTACACCATACACAAAAATAAACTCAAAATGGATAAAGGACTTAAACGTAAGATGGGAAACCATAAAAATCTTAGAAGACTCCATAGGCAGCAAAATAGAGACATATATCATAGCAATATTTTTATTGATACAGCTCCTAGAGCAATGGAAACTAAAGAGAAAATAAACGAATGGGACTACATCAAAATAAAAAGCTTCTGCACAACAAAAGAAACCATCAACAAAATAACAAGAAAGCCCACTGCATGGGAGAACATATTTGCCAATGTTATGTCCGATAAGGGTTTAATCTCCAAAATTTACAGGAAACTCATACAACTTAACAAAAGGAAGATAAACAATCCAATAAATAAATAAATAAATAAATAAATAAATAAATAAAAGAGCAAAGGACCTAAATAGACACTTTACAAAAACAGACATAGAGATTCTGTATTTCTAACAAGTTCCCTGATTATACAATGTCATTGGTCTTTAGGTAATACTTTTAGTATCAAAGGTCTAAGACAGCTGTGGACCCAGAGCTCCTCTTCTTGACTTTAGACAAAGGACTGTGCCATATTCATCTTTATTTCCTGTTATTTAATAAAGTACCTGAGTGAAAGAATGCCCAGAAATATTTTCTTGTTAAATAATTAAATGACTACTTAAACAATCCTTAATCCTTTGAGCTCAAGATATCAAATATTATTTATTTTTTAAATTTTTATTTATTTTTTTTTTAAACATATTTTATTGATTTTTTACAGAGAAGAAGGAAGAGAGATAGAGAGTTAGAAACATCGATGAGAGAGAAACATCGATCAGCTGCCTCCTGCACATCTCCTACTGGGGATGTGCCCGCAACCCAGGTACATGCCCTTGACCGGAGTCGAACCTGGGACCTTTCAGTCTGCAGGCCGACGCTCTATCCACTGAGCCAAACCGGTTTTGGCTAAATTTTTATTTTTTACTGAATTCTTTCAGGTGACATTGGTTAACAAAATTATATAGGTTTTAGGTTTACAATTCTTTGATGCATCATCTATACATTGTATTGTGTGTTTACCACCCCAAGTCAAGTCTCCTTCCATCACCATTTATCTCCCATTTACCCTCTTGTGGAGGAAGGTTGCATGGCTGGGTGAAAAGGTAAAGAGATTAAGGAAAAAAAGAAAAAAAAAAGAAAAAAAAAGGCAGCAACAACTCTTAAACACAGAAAACGGTATCAAATATTATGTAAATGAAAGAAGTCTTTACAGTAGGTGTTACCAGTTATTCATCCTGAGAATAGAAAAACAAGTAGTATTTCTAAGGTGCAACTAAACTTAAGCTGTATGACAACCAGTTGAGTAAACTGAAATTCACTTTCAGGTAACTGAACTAATTTATCTCCTTAGTATTTCTCAATTGCTTGGCTGCATTTAAATAAAACCTGGGAAGCTTTTAAAAATTCTAATGCCCAGATTGTACCAAAGATGGGAACCACTGATGCTGGTTCAAGCTCCCTAGATAATTCTAGTATATAATCAAGGTGAGAACCATTACTTGACTATGAGCTCTTTGAAGCCAGGATCAATCTTTCATTTATTTCTTTAACTTTTAGCACCTAATACATGGTATAGATACTCAGTAAATGTTTACTTAATCACTGGATGAATTATAAGAGAGTATTGCCTGTTACCAAACAGTAGAACTCTTTAGTATAAAAGGACTATTTTAACTATAATAGTAGCATTTTGAATTTAGTAAAGTTTGAATGCCCTTTTGGTATTGACAATACTGAAATTTGGTATTTGATATAGATTTTGTGTGTACTTGGGATATTTTGTAAGTGTAACTTTGATATCATTTTTTATCAAGAGCTGATGTAAATGGAATGTGGTCAGAGATGAGGATGCTGTGGCATGGCACTCCAGTACTGATAGGGGAACTTTGGAATGTTAACAGGAAATTTAAAGTGTTCTGGGATCCATTAGTGGGAAAACAAGGTCAATTAATCTCATTTCTGAATTGTGACATCAACTTATTTTTGTGTGGACTAGAAATAACTACTTAGAATCATGAGTATTTATATTTTTTTACTTTAAATATAGAAGCACAAGTCAATGTAAATTTTAGGTTTGGTTTGTGAACCACCTTGTGATAACTTTTATTATAATGCTCATTGATTTTGTGTGTGAGCTTTCCTCGGAACAAAATTATAACTACATCAGGAATGGAAGTTTTTCAGTTGGGCTCTCAGTAGTCTATAATTTATATATTTTAAAAATAGTCTGTTGCCATTAATGAATAATAGCAGGGGGAAAATCCCGTTCATTTGGAGGTTTGGGCTCTCCATTCCTGTGATACTATGATGAAATATAAATATTCAAAGATAGGGAAAAAATCATTTTTAGACCTCAGATTTCCTTCTAACTAATTATCCTGCATTTTATGCTACTGATGAATTTGAGAACAGAGGATATTATGTTTTACATGTAGGTATTAGCCTGCTACTTGTGTTTTACACCTCGTTATCAGCAATTAAATAATATAATTGCATTATTACATTTGGACTGGAATTATAAAAAAATAATGATATAATATGTATATAATAGTTGTTTTTAAAATATAATTACAATGTAGAATGGATGAGTAGAATTACCAGTAGTGTAAGCTGACAATAGATCGTAGTTCCTCTTCTTTACAAACTAGCTAGATAACTTTGAGTAAATTATTTAACCACTTTTGTACTTCACTTGTCTTATCTAGAAAATGAAGAGGCAAATCCCCTAAGGTCCCTACCAACTCCAAAATTTTATGGTGTATAATTATGTAATTCTAGGCTTTATAAGTAGTGTGGAGGGGAAAAACTTTAAGTAATCATTTATTCCTACACCTTTCTTTTAAGGAAATCATGTAAAATAATTCCTGATAAAATAATAAAACTTCCCTAAACAACTTGAAACTTAGTAGAAAATATTGACATAATCACAGTTGGAAAGTAGGGAACATATATTGTGGATCCCACAGATCTAGTTTGAATCCTAGTTCTTTCTCCTTCTAGTTTATGAGCTCATGATCAAATTAGTTTCTTGATCTCTCAGAATCCATTAAAGAAAAAAAAATGAATGAGTCTGTTTCTTTAAATATGAAATTGAAGTATGCATATTTACCTGGAAGGATTGGTGTGGTTTTTTAGTAATGAGATCATATAAATGACACATACGCAGTACTCAATTTTTTTAACTTGAATATATTTTGAATGGCTGTAAAGAACTTAGGTATGCCACATGAACACATAACAAATACTAGTTTATAAACTTTTATGGTATTTCATTGAAAGTAAATGCATTTCATTTACTTTAAAGAATTTCATCCTCATTTTCTGTGAGTAAAATAAACATTCAAAATGCAGTGTGTTTTGAGCAACAGTGAAATTGTTCTATGAATTGTGCTTCAAAATTTTTATGTTGATAAGAATGTGTTTTCCATCACTATACATAATGTATTTGAGTACATGTGTGTTTCAAGCAGACAGGCACATCCTTCTGCATGTGACATTATTACTGTTTTCTTTCAGGAAACCCTGATAGATTGGTGTGATGAAAAGGAACTTAATTTGATACTAACAACTGGAGGAACAGGGTTTGCACCACGAGATGTCACTCCAGAGGTGAGATAGAATATGCTTTTCTCAGATTCAAGGAGTAAACTATTCATGTTATTTTAAATATTTTTAATATTATTTTTGTAATTCTGCTAGGCATAACAAGAGACTTGTGGTGCTAAGAATGAAAAACTTGCTGAGGAAGAATTATGTAAAAAATATTTCTTGGCTTTTTTCTTTGGACTTAAACTAGAAATTATATAATATGAGGAAGATTGAGCTGGTCCAGAAGGTAAATCCTGCATTTCTTCAGTGGTCTGTGGTATCAGCTGAACTTCAGGCATGTTCCCAAAGGAGGTGATAACAGAACTCTGACTCAGCGTGGCATCTGGTGTGCGTTCTTAATATAATTCAAACTGTATCTGAATTCTGTTTTTTTGAGATACCCTTGTCACTGGCCTCAAAGCACAGTAGAATGGTTGTAATAGAATATTTATACCAATTTTATAGTTCTTTTGGTGAGAAAGGGTTGTATATTCCGTAACTTTAAATGAATTTAATAAATCATAAACAGAATTAATATCTAGGCTTTATGCCACAAAAATCACCTCAGCTTTTGCACAGAGAGAAAAAATAGGGAAAGAATGAAGAGTAGGCAGTGCTCATTGATACAGGGGGAAAAAATCTTTTTTATGAGGAAGCCATAAACCAGGTGTCACTTTCAGAGTTTTAAGCAAATTTATATTACCACGTGTGACATTGTTTTCTTTACTTCCCCAAAAAAGTGTTTCTTGGCTGAATTTCAAGTTAATATTAATTATGTCCTTCTATTTTTCAAATCAGTACACTATTGTATCTACTATCTTATTATCAGCAAGATGCTTTTTCTCTGCACCTATTAAATAATTCCTGTCCTGTTTTTCAAACTTTAGCCTTCACCACAAAGCAGATTGCTGGGCCCTACACACAGATTTTCTGATTCAGTAAAGTCTGCAATGGGTGCTGAGATTTTGTATTTTTAACAAGGCCCCAGGTGATGCTGATGTCACTGGCCCATCGACCATACATCAGACTTTGAGAACCACTGTTCCATATGAAAATACAAATTTTTAAACAAGTTGTAAAATAGTTTCTATTCTATGTAAATAAAAATCATGACACAGAAATTCTTTGAATAATATTATAAGTAGGCTTATAAATAAAATGGTCTTGCCTTAAATCAGAATCATGTTAAATTGAGAAATTAACTTCAACTGCGTAAAAAAGAAGCCAACCTTACATAATTTATTTAGACTCTGGGTCCTAAGGGAAATGGTTCTTTGACATGTTTTACATTAAAAAAAAATTACATTTTTTTTTAAAACTGTGAGGCTAGCCCTAACCGGTTTGGCTCAGGGCTAGAGTGTCGGCCTGCGGACTGAAGGGTCCCAGGTTCAATTCCCGTCAAGGGCATGCATGTACCTTGGTTGCAGGCACATCCCCAGTAGCGGGTGTGCAGGAGGCAGCTGATCGATGTTTCTCTCGCATCAATGTTTCTAACTCTCTATCCCTTTCTCTTCCTCTCTGTAAAAAAAATCAATAAAATATATATTTTTTAAAAAAATAAACTCTGAGGCTAACTTAAAAAGTACAATTGAGGGAAGCCATCTCCTTTAGAGATGTGTTTATGTTTTGTTTTGCTTATAATAGGAGTGGGGAACCTATATTCTGCCAAGGGCCATTTGGATACTTATAACATCATTTGCAGGCCATACAAAATTATCAACTTAAAAATTAGCCTGCTATATTTGCTCAAGCACTTAATTAACTCACCCCTAAAGCCTTGGCAGTGCCAAACCAAATGATTTCTCAGACCTTATACAGCCCAAGGGCCAGGCATTCCCCACCCCTGGTTTATAAGAAAATTGCCTATCTATGTGAAGACATTGATTTTTGGAATTAGGTGTTGTGTAAGTGTTTGAAGGAAATGAAATTAGGTTTATATATCGCCATTTTTTGTGTGGTAGTTTGATATTTTCATGGTATTACTTATTTTTATATCAGAAAAGTATTAACAATTATCAGGAATTAATTTATAACCAGATAACAACGTTATTTTCAATTGTGGGGAAATAATTTACATCACAAAGTTTAGTATTTTGTATACTGTGGAGCTTCAAGGCAATACCAAAATGCAAGGTTGAAAATTCAAACCTGTGAATTCTGGCTCTGCTATTTACTAGCAAAGTGACTATAAACTAGTCAATAAACTGCTCTGTGCTTAGGAAAATTAGGAATATAAAAGTACTCACCAGGGTACCTGTGAGGATTCAATGAAAAGTATGCCAGTATTTTAGTACTAGCTATGTAAGGATTAACTTATAAGGGGTAAATACTTTTTTATTAGTTACTACATAACTACCAAGTGGGCAAATTTGATAGTAATTTTGTATAAACCTACCAAATGAATAAAAAGTCTTATTCTAGATTTAAAGTATATCCTTGAAATCTTCACAATCCTATTAAATTATTTTTAGTTTTGATATAGTAAGCTTCACATTTTACCTTTTCTGTCTCCATATAAATCAGAAATCTTGAATTTCTACCATTCTAATATCGTAATATCCCCCATTCCTATTTTTGGGTACTGTTAGTTGACAAGAGACTTCTCCCTTTCCATAAGCTTGTATGTTTCATTATATCAGAAATTGAGAAGTTCTTTATTCTTAAGTGAAGTTTTTCAGTTAGAGGTACTCTTATATTCTTATAGTCATATATGCCTATAGCAAAAAAAACCTAAAATTATATTATGGTTTTTAAAATACACATAAATATGTCTTCTCTGTTTTTGAAAACAGGTGACTTACTCATTGTGAATTCATGATCTTTAGTAAATACACTTTACTTCATATAATATTTATGGTTTGATTATGTACAACAAAAGTCCATAGGACTGTTAAGCTTTTGAAAAATTAAATAAACATGAAAGCAATGTAGGTCCTCCCAAAAATAATTCTAATTTCCCATTTCCTCTATACCAGCGGTTCTCAACCTGTGGGTCGCGACCATAGGAAAACACATATAGCATATCAGATATTTACATTACGATTCATAACAGTAGCAAAATTACAGTTATGAAGTAGCAACGAAAATAATTTTATGGTTGGGAGTCACCACAACATGAAGAACTGTATTAAAGGTTCGCGACATTAGGAAGGTTGAGAACCACTGCATGATACTCTTAATAGTTGCAATTTTTATAATATTTAAAAATAACACTGAAATATTAGTTAGGAATCCAGAAATATAATTTGGGGCCTATAATAATACAATTATTTGTTTTTAACTTGTTTGTTTTACATAACTAGGCCTAAAAAGAGAGGAAACTATTTCTAGACCATATTTATCTATATACAACTAGTTGCAAATATTGTTAAGTAGATTCGGAAGTTATTGATAGAAAACACAAATATTAATGATAAAGGTTAAATAACATAAAACTTCTACCTTCAGGGACTAATATTTTACAGCGAGTAATTTTCAATAATTATTTTGTCCTACAATCAGAACGGATGATTGTATGTGAGATGTGTGTGTTGTTAGAAAAAAGTGAAGGGTATAATAACAAATTGAATGAATGAAATAAAGCATTCTAAAGTTGTTATCAATAAGTATGAACCTTTGAGAAAATGAAAAGTTTAATAGATTTAGATTTCTTCTGAGGTATATTTTAAAAAAAAGGAATAGCAAGTTTAGAAAAGAGTATCGTATTTACATATTTTATAGAAAGAATGCAATCAATTGATATTTCTAAATTGTGAATTTGTTTCTACATGCCTTGCTGGCTCACTCTGTGCCTCTAAACATGACATACTATCTAACTTAACATATAGTAGCATAAACTATTCAACTTTTTGGTTTTATTTTGATATGAAAAGCTTTATTTTAAAAAATAAATTACATTTTCTCTGATCTTATATAAAGGATGGATAATCTGTGTCATTGGTGAAATGCTAGTCATTATAATATTCTATGGAACATAAGAATTCATTGATATACAAAATTATCTCTTTGTGTCCCATTATCTCTTTAAAATTACATATTTCCAAAATAGGTATTATTACATAAAGAATTTTTTATTATTTTTAGAAAATAGAAGTATAATTAAGGACATATAAGTGAGGTGAAGTGAAAGCTCTTTAGACATAAATTTGAGAAGAGAATAAAAGATTAAGAAGCATTAAAAGATGTATATACTTACAAAGAATGTTTAATGTATTATGATAAATTAGAAAATATTAAGCTACTCAATATTTACAGGGTAAAAATAACTTTCACCACTTTTAGAGTAATAGGCCACACCAAAATAAAGGGTTGAATACTAATGTATTGTTTTGATAATAAATTAAGAGTTAAGTAAAAGTCTAGCATACACATTAGGTTCCATCCACTCATTCATTCATCAGATGAGTTTGGTATTTTTAATTCTTAATATGTATCCAGTGCGATACAGGTTACTAGAGTTAAAAAATGAATAAGGCAGGTCCCTATCCTCAAGAAATTCTTAATCTAACACAGGGGTTGGCAAATGATGGCCTGTATACCAAATCCAATCTGTCATCTTTTTTGTATGGCTTGTGAGCTAATGAATAGATTTTGCATTTTTAAATGAGTAGGGGGAAAATCAAAAGGAGAATATTTTGTGACACATGAAAATTATTTGAAATCAAGTTTCGGTTTCCATAAATGAAATTTTATTTGAACACAGCCACACTAATTCATTTATATATTGCCTATAGCTACAAAAGCAGAGCTGAGTAGTTGCAACCAAACTGGTATAGCCTGCAAGGTCTAAAATATTTGCCATCTTGCCCCTTTGCAGAAAAAGTTTGCCAACCCCTGTTCCATTAGGTGATGGCAGTAAGTCATCTTTAGTCAATTTTTTTTTATTTTTAAGATTGATTTTCTTGATTTTTACCTTTGTTCTTTAGTAATCACAAATGTTATTGGGCTTCATTTCTTAAATTTTTAATTTTAGAAGGAGCAAAGAAAGTAAAAAAGAACACTTTTCTGCAATAAGGAAATGT